CTCCCTCCCTCTCTCTCCCTCTCTCCCCCCCCTCTCTCTCTCTCTCACACATACACATACACACACACACAGAGTCAGGATACGGATGACGCGTTTGGGGAAGGGGCAGGTCAGGTGGATCCTGGCGCTGAAAGGCGACATTGAGAAGCTTGTCTCTCAGGCGTGGTCACCTCCTTAGAATCCTCATTGCTGTGTCCAGAACGCGTCTTGTAGAAATTTGTCTCAAATTAATTGTGACCTGAAGGCACCTTCCGTCTGTGGGAGCACCAGGTGGGTCTTCGGATCCCTTCATGGGGTTTCCTCCTGGAGCCACATGGTCCCCGAGTGACTTCGTGTGAGCCCAAGCCTCCTCCGCGAGCACAGGGCAGAGGGGCCTGTTCACACACACACAGGGTGTGAAGGGTGTGCAGACCTTGCTGAAAGTGGGTTCCTCAACCGAGAGGTCACCCACAGTGAGCACTCTGCCTAAGGCTGCCACCAGAGCAGGGTCACCTGAACAGGAGCCGGTCCTGTGGCTGGAGCCTCTTGCAGACCCGAATGTTGGGCACTGTTGTGAGCTTTGCCAGGCTGACCCCCAGGGCCGCGTGTCTGCTGCTCTTGAGCTGAAACCAAATGCATATAGCAAGTGCCGCTATTGAATGAATTGTTTTCTGTTTGTCGATGTTGTCATTGATTCTGCAGTGATGATTTCTGCTGGGAAACCTTGAGGCTGCTTCTTCCAGAATTGTCTCTTCATGAGCTTCAACAAAACTGGAGGGAAAGCCTGCTACTTAGAATGAAATAGGGAATGAAGCCCAAACACTAGAGCAGGTCAGTGTAAACCAGCATGATGGGCAGAGAAGAGAAAGAGGATTACGCGGAGCCCATGCTGGGCCTGATGGCTTCCTGACTTGATGGAAGGGCTCTTGCCAGGTTCCGGATGCCCCCGAGACCACCTCAGGTCGGTAACTCCCAGGAAGGACTCTGAGACGTGAGCAAAGCTACTGTACTCGTGGTCACACTTAGTGACAGTGAAGGGCAACAGATGAAAATCAGTACAGGGGAAGATGGCCCCGGGAGACGAGGGTCGGTGTTTTACTAGGGGTTGGTCCCACCCCTCCAAAGGTAGAGCTAACACAGTGCAGACGAAGACCCCCCACCCGTTATCAGACAGGCTCTTACCAGGCAGAACATTCCTCGGGCTTAGAGGTCACCAGCCAGAACCCTCTGTGGGCAGGGTGAAGCCCCAGCACAGCCATTCATGCAGAGAGGCCTGTTACCTGGCGAAGAGCCGGAGGCTGGCAGTCCACACGGGGCCTCTGCCCAGGAGCTCTTCCCACTGCGTGGCCATGAGCAAGCAGTGAGAGCACGGGACTTCCAGCTAGATGGGAGGCCTGCTTTCCAGTCAATCCATCTGAGAAAGCAGTGGCTTCCAGAGACAACAAGCAGCTGTGTGAGAGACAGAACCTGCAGAACGTGGGCCATTCTCGGTAACTGAGAGGGAACAGCTCACCACCTGGAAATAGCCAAGAGGTGGCTGAATCTCGCATCGGCAGTAAATAAGTGCAGGAAATATATCTTGCTGTACATTTTCCCCTTCAACTCGGAGTCCGATTGTGGGGTAAATGTGCTCATTGCTCCACTGGTGTCCAGTGTGGTCCAGCTGGCACAGGAGGTGTTGGTACTGAGTAGTGGAATAGGTTAGCAGACTCTTCCTACATTATCCAGCAGCTGGAGAGGACAGGCAAGGAGCCTACAGGGCAGGAATCTCAGGCAAAAGAAAGTCCATGACTTACTTCATTCATTCATCCATAACACCGTGGGCCCACTGTCCGCACCAGAGGTAGGCAAGGAGCCGTAACTTAAGCTCCCCCTCTCCTTGCATGTTTCCTGCAGCCTGTAGACTGGCACAACTTCATCTCCTAGCAAGTTGCTTGGTGGTGAGGAGCCTCTGGACCACGGAGGCTCAGCAAACAGCAGTGCCCAGCCAGAACCACATCGCCCAAGCCCTGGCCCCATGCCTACATCCACGTGGTACCACAGTGAGACCCTGAGTCTCCACCTGAGCAGACCCCGGGGCCAGCGGCGGGTCTCCAGTGACCATGCACGCATCCCTACCGCCAGCCTGCGCGACAAAAGTGCCTCCACATCTTCATCAAGCAACAAAAAAGGGCAACGGAGCTGGTTCCTCAGAAAACTGATGCAGTTAAAGCACTATCCTTTAACAGCCATGCTTTTCCTCCACTTTCAGTACTGAAATATACCTCCATGAAATGAAGAGCAAATAGTATTTTTTTTTACAATTTCCTACTTAAAAATAGTTGCCGATACTGTGCCCCACCTCCCAGAAATTTTAATACTAAGACAGTAAAATTGATCTGCCTCCTGACCTATGAGATCAGGAAATCTAGGGACCTGTGGTCTAGTTCAAATCCCTTGTTTTACAGAAAATCAGATAGGCTCAGAGAAAGGAAAGCCCGTCCCTCGGGAACGCTGGGCCCCAGCAGGCTGCACACGTTTAACCTCAGGAGTTAGTTATTTGTGGGTAGGCCTTTATGTTGCCTGCCACTTGTATCCTTTCTAGGATACAAGTGAATTTTTTTTTAAGCTCATAACATTTAGAAACAGCCTTTTAGAATCATCTTTGTGATGGACATTGTACAGGATGTACCAGAAATGCTGCCATTTATAGCTACACATTTTCCTTTTTTTTTTTTAATGCCTGCATTTTTCGCCAGTTGACCTTCCAAAACTTGAGCATTAAAAATCAAAATCAAATCCAGCCCCCTAGAGTGAAAAGAACTCCATCCAACAGACGTCTCTGTGTGTGGGGGCATCCAGGACCTCAGAATGCCTGGGACAGTGTTAGCCTGGTTCATGGAGGGCCCAGTGCTAGCAGGGTGGCCACACCGCTTGCCACCTCCCAGTCCCATTAGAAATGAATTCTTTGGAACTGAATTAGTCCCATTAGAAATGAATTAATTGGATAATGATAATAATCCCATTATCCAACAGAAATGAAAGTATTTGGGGGTTTTTTAAGTCTTATCAGAATGTTTATAGCAGCTTTAATTGCCAAAAACTGAACCCAAATATCCATCACCAATTAGTTTAACTAAACTAATTGGTTAAATCCATACAATTCTCAGTAGTTAAAAAAAGTGAACTGATACATTCAATGTGCATGAATCTCAAAAACTTCGTTCTAAGTGAAAAAAATCAGACATAAAGGCCACATGATGTCTGCTTTTTATGATATTTGGTGTGGGGGAAAGCTCTAGAAATCTAATCAGTATTCGCCAGGACTTGGAGTAGAGAGAGGAGTGACCGCAGAAGACACAGGGAGCTTTTGGGGGTAACGGATTCAACGTCTGGACTGTTGTGGTAACCATACAACTGTGTATGTTTGTCAAAATTCATAGAATGGTACACTTTAAAAGTATGAGTTTGGCCATATATAAATTATACCTCAATAAACCTGCCTTAAGTAAACAAACAAATTTTTAAATAATAAATAAAAAACTAAATTAGCTCCAATGCCCTGATGGCATATTCCAAGGGTTAGTTCCAAAAGAAAGCAGAGTATGGTGCCCCCTCTGAGGCTGCCCAACCTGCTTTCTTTAAGTGTGTACTTTTAAATAAAGCTTTCTCACTGCTCAAAAAGAAAAGTATATAACAAACAATTTAAAAATTCTGATCATTCCAAAAGCAATAATTCAGTAAAAAGTAGAATAAATTTTGAATAGAAGTTTTAAACAAAGAAGTAGAAATTAGTGAATTAAGTTTAAAACCAGAGAAGTAAAATAAACTGCTTTTTTTTAATCAACAAGTAAATGAATCACAAGTCAACCTACTTTTTTAAATGGCAAGACCATTTAAAATATCCAGATCTTTAAATATCCAAAATAAATAATGACAAAATAACAATTACCATCAGAGAACATTTTTAAAAATCATGAGACTGCTTTACACAACAATAGGAAAATAAACTTAAAAATTTTCTAGGAAAATATAATCCACAGTGACCACAGACAAGATAGAAAGTCTAAAATTATTAGGAAAAGGCTTGAAGAACTTCTTAATAAAAGACACTTGCTGTATTAATGAGGGTTGTCCAGATATACACAGAGCCAATGGGATATGTAGATTGATAGATGGATAGGTAGGTAGGTAGATGACAGATTTTAAGGAATTGGCTCATGTGATTATGGAGGCTGGGCGGGCTGACAAACTAGAGACCCGGGGAAAAGCCAGTGCTGTAGTTCAAGTCTAAGGCCATCTGCTGGCAGAATTATTCTTCCTTGGAGAGGTCAGTCCTCATTCTGTTAAGGCCTTCAGCTGATTAGATGAGGCCCACCCACATTTCAGAGAGCAATCTGCTTTACTCAAAATCCACCCATTTAAATGTCAATCTCATCAAAAAACACCTCACGGAAACACCCAGAATAAGTCCTGACCACGTATCTGGGCATACGGGTCCAGAAAAGTTGACACATAAAATGAGCCATCACAAGTTCACCTCTTGTCAGCCTGGCACCCCTACACATCTTAACTCATACTTAATCCACAAATAAGGACAATAACGGCTATAATTCCACCAAACACGATACAACTGTCCTGCATACAACCTACCAGAATGTAGGGAAGTGCTCAAAGAATGAGGCAGACATGTCAAAAAGATACAAAAGTCAACGTGAAGGGACTGTTGCTGTTCACATCTAGGATAATCTCAGCATTGATACAATTGATCAGACTAACATTACAACCTACTGAATAAAATAGCTTTCATGAGTCCATACTAATAAATGAATGAAAAAAATATACGAGAGAAGGGAATGTAGAATGCCAACGAATGTAGAAGGGATGGTGGAAATGGACCATGCTAGGGCAATCATTACGGATGAAGGCGGGCGCATCAGTGGAGGTAAGGCTGCTGGTGGGTGTGTGGTGAGGCCCAGGATACTGGTGTAAGGGTGGAGTACCCACAAGATGCTAATCAAATACGAAGTTGAGAATGTTGACTTGGCAAATGCCACCTTGACCGGCTGGCGGGTCACGTGACCAGCGGTGGCCCAGGAGGACATCCTGCTTCCTGGTGTGACCCGCGGGAAGAGCACCCCCCGGTGCTGAGGCCTTCTTGCCGAGAGCTCGGGGCAGGGCTGGCCTAAGGGGCCAGGGACTGGGCCAGCCAGAGGGGTGTCCTGCGGAATAGCTCGGGTTCCATAAACCTGGTAAGGACGCCAGAGGCCCGGGGACGCTGGGAGGCTGTCCCGGACCGGAGGACGCTGGTGCAACATGGCACCCCACCCGCACCCCCGCACCTGGGGCTCCTAGAGAGGGGGCCCTGTGCCGGAAAGGAGGTGGCCGGGAGCTCGCCGTGAACGCACCCCCCGCCATCGATTGGATTCCCTGGCGGAAGGCTCACAAGCAGGCTGGTGGGAGAGGCCCCCCTGCTTTGTGGGGCGTCCTCGCGAGTTTGGAGGCCTGGGTTTCCCATCGGAGGAGGAGGAATCTGGGTGGGGGGCGTATGTGGCCCGTGAGGTGACACAAAGCCAGGGGCTGTGGTGTCAGAAGCCAGACGTTCGTCGGCCCCTGAGCGCAGAGAGGGAGCGGGGAGCGGCCGGCCAACGCCGCTGGGATGGGCAGCACCAAGGCCGCGGCCGCACAGACGCGTCCCAGCAGCGGGAGGGGCGGGCGCCGCGCCGGGTGGGAGGCGCTTGGGGTCGGGACGGGACGCGGGACCCGCTGCGGGGACCCGGCCCCCGGGCCGTGCGAGGGAGACGCCTGAGCGCGTCTGCGCACGGACGAGACGAAGCGCGCTCCCGTGCCGGCGCGGGGCTGCGGCAGCTCCCGGGAGGGGGTTCTTCCACCGAACAAGGTCAGACGCCGCTTTAACGTCGGTCATCACGTCGATACACACGCGTGGTGGGCGGCCTCCGTCTTCTCGGGAATTAGGAATGTCCGACAGAGGCCGGCGTCGTGAACCTCAAGGGCAGCCGCAGGCGTGATTCCCCGGGAACCTGCCCCCTTCCTCCAGGACGGGGGTGTTTTCCAAACCTCAGGGACTGACACCGCTCTCCCCGCGCCTGCCCTTTGCAGCCGTGGGCGATGACCCAGAACCCGCGGGACGTACTGGCATTTCCTCCGGCCAAAGGAGGGGACGTGCCCTGTGTCTCCGGCCGGGTGTCCCGGGACAGCGTCCCTCCGAGCCCCGCAGTGCAGAGCAAGACATTACCGTAATGCCCACCAGAGCCGCGACACGTGACCCCGGCGCGGGGCCGCCTCCCGGGCAGCTTTCTGACGGGGGGCTCTAGGGGGGGAAGCTTCTGGGGGCCAGACAGACCAGGGAGCATCCCAGCACCCGCTCCGGGCCGGCGCTCTCCTCGGAAATGCGGATAGAGATTCAGACGTTGGGGCGTTTGGAGCTTAAAGAAATGATCCCTTAAGTCAGGCCGCGGCCGCTCGGCGGATGGCGCCTGCTGCGCTCTTGCCAACCTCCGCCGCACCTCCCACCAGGAGCTCCGGCTCCGAGAGGGAGAGGCCCGCCCACTGCCCGTTAGCAGCCCTGCTGGGGTGAGCTGGTCGTCTGTGGGTAAAACTCTAATATTTTCAGAATAACTCGCCTGGCTTTAGTACATCTGCATATCAATAGGCGCTCAGAGGTGGAAAGAAGTAGGCTTTAGTGCCTTTGCATCATTCCTCGGGGGTGGAGAGAAGTTCATCTCCAGATCAGTGGGTAATTACCTGGGCAAGGAGGCCTTATCTGTACCTGAGAGGGGAGGGGAGGGCCGGTTTTGCTTTTGGGGGCGCAGGAAGGAGAGAAGGCCCGGGACTGCAGTTTTTGAGCAAATAACGGATTCTAAACTTTATTTCTCCCTCTGACTGATTTCAGTTTTTAGAGGTATTTTGCCCCGGGATTTCCTCTCCCCGGAATTACATCGTCACCAACCTAAGAAAGAAATGCAAGTCACAGCGGGGAGGGGGAGGAAAGAGGCTTTTTATTTTTTTTTTTTTTTTTGAGATCTAAGCGGCTTTGGGAAGCAATTCATGAACTCTAACTAGCAGACAGACATGCTGCCGACAGCATTTTAGTTTATTGTTGATGGATGTGCAAATTTGTACAACTGTGGGAAGCCAACTAGGTGATATTTAAAATATTAACTATCAAAAATATTTTAAACGGCATACCTTTGACACTGCAAATCTGCTTCTAGGAATTTAGACACCAGTAACGCTTTAACAGGAGAAGGGTGGCCATAGACCTGAGGCTGCTCACTA